CGCTAACCAGACTAAATGTGCATAAGCCCATGTCGCATGGGAACTGAAATACTGCAGAAGAAAAGACTGGAAATCATGCATGGTGCGACTGGGAGCATGTTTCCCAACTCCAGAATCGTAGCTGGAATCTCTGCACGTCATTCGTGGGCAACCGCTGATGTGGCAATTTCATGGGATGACCCAGCCTCGATGCTGTCAGCTGGGCAACCAGGTTTTGAGTTGAGACGTCTAGGGTATGTTTTTGACGATCTGGATGCTCACGGTGTGGATGCTGCTGTGGTTCCTTTCATCCTCCGCAGTCGTTGCTGATGCAACGTGGTCCTAGACTCGACTCGCGGACAGGACACTGTGGGCTCTTTGAACGCCACAGGAGCCCTGGACGGTCAGCCGGCTTGCCTTCCGGAGATCTTCTACACTCAGGGCTCGGGCTAGACAAGGAAAACCACACAACTTCCGTGGAGTAGAGGGCTGCTGTTGTGGCAGTCGCCGTCGTGGTCCTCGTCATCACTGCTGGCAGCGGCGGTGCACTAGGACGACGAAAAAACGAAGGATCAGCAAAGACTCTGATGAGAACAAGCGCAAGAGCAACACGACAACAACATCATTGACACCAATGGCCACAGCAACAGCTGCCGCAACCAATGCCAGGACATCCACGACGACGACGAAACGACAGCCACGGGCACGACAGCAAGAAATGGCAGCAGCTACAAATAACAGAAGAAGAATAGCCAAAAAGAAGAACATGGACAAGAGGAAGAACAGCAACTGCAATTTCGTCAGCAAAACAAGGGTCCTCCTCATGCTTGCGATGGCGGTCGTGGTGATTGTAGTGGTGGTCGTCGTCGTGGCAGTGGCAGTAATGGCAGCAGTAGTAGCAGTAGCAGTAGCAGTAGCAGCAGTAGTAGTACTAGCAGTAGTAGCAGCAGGCGTAAAACTAGTTTGCTTCTGATATGGATGTAGAAACAAAAATTCAAAAGGTGAGAAATAAGGGCAGCAGTGGGCATAAGCAGGTCTTGCTGCTTCTTAGCAGCAGTAGTGGTGGTAATCGCTGCTACCAGTATGACCGGTAGTAGAGCTACTCACATGCATCCTTGTGCTTGCACTTCCGGAATCAGCTGAGGCGAACTTCCAGCTGGCCGGACGGCCTAGCGCAAAATTCTTTGTTTGCTGCCGGTCTTCAGTGTGACATATGCCAGCCCTTCCTCCGGGGTTTGGATTTGCTTGGCAAGTGAACGCGCAATCGGAACATAGGTTCGGCATGATTGAGAGTGCTTTTGCTGCTTAAAAAGGACCGATGACAGGGTGCTGAAGATTGCGCAGCACATGTTCCAAAATAAATGAAGCATATGTTGAACCTGTAGTGTGTATGTTTAAATGTGTGTGTGTGTGTCTGATCATGTCTCTACACGCAAAGTTATAGGCCGAGGGCCCAACTCACCGCATATGCTTTTCTGCACATAACGGGTGACACTACAAATGCATCGCAGACTCGATTGCATGCTTGAACTCTGCCTCGTAGCCTCCGTCTTGCCTTGACAACACATATCCACATGCAGATCTATCTATATGGACACAGATACGTCAGCACATCACGTAAGGATGGCCAAAAGGTCAATCCAACACTTTGTCAGACATGCCTCTTGCATTGTGTCGAACATGCGTTTGAGCGTTTGCATGTGGTCTGTGTACATAGGTAGACAGGTAGGCGGGCTGACTCGTGGATTGTATGGGCAAGTAGAATGCTATATTATCTATGCCGATCGGATGGCCCGCCGATCGATGGACAACTAACTAGCAGATAGTTACAAAGTCAAAAACATGTGTAGAGAGTTAGAGATGGGTTGACATATCTTCTGTAACAGATGCATATACGCCTACATCCGTACATACACACTTACAGACATGCGTACATACGTGCCTACATACATACCGACATACATATATGCACACATACATACATACATACATACATACATACATACATACATGCATGCATACACGCATACCTACATACCTACATACACAGCTACATACCTATATTTCTGCCCTGCCCATATGCCGAGCACATGCCTCCGCACATACCTACGTACGTACCTACGTACCCGCATACCTGGGTGCATGCTTGCCTCCACACATACATGCATGCACATACATACATACATGCATATACGTACACAGGTACATAGGTACATTGGTAATACATGCATACATATATACATACATAGACTTAGAAACACAGGTACGTAGATCCAACCATAGATAGATACAGAGATAATCATGGGTACATACGAATACATTAATACATACATGCATACATACATACATACATCACTTACATACATACACACATACATACATGCACACCTACATATACACATACCTACATACGTACATACATACATACATACATGCATACATACATACATGGATGCATACATACAGACACATGTTACAGACATACACATCCACACGTCTGTACACCTACATGTCGCTGTCAGGTATGGGGTGTTCTAGCATGCATGTCTACATGCATACCTGCCTACCGCCTGTCTACCTGTACATACACACTTACTCCGACAGTACTGCTTGCTGGGTATACATATGCAGTTCATATTCTTGTGTTCTTAGAACTCCTGGTGTGTACGCACTTACATCTCTAGTCCACGTGAACAACACGTTAATGCTTCTGGTGCTTTCAAGAGGCATGCCATGAATGTCCACTATCCGGTTCTAGAACCAGCACGTGTCTCCACGGAAGTACATATGAATGCATGATCCAAGGCAGTGCATGCATGTATCTACATAACTTGCTGCCAACCGACCGACAGATTTACTGATTTTACCGATCGGTACATGTACTTGCTTGTTTGCGTATCAGCACAAAGTGGAGACAGTCACTTGAGCGTCATTACAAAGCGCTGCGCCCTCCACATGTCCCGATTCATTCACGCCCCTTATCCCTATCTCCAGTCTCATGCTACTTGACGACCAGAAACGCTCGAAAATCTAGACACCGTTCTACTACCGCTACAGTAAACTTTGCAGGACCCTTGAAGGAACGTCAAACCCTTTAAGGCACCCAGTGGGCAGGAGGAGCAAAAAAAGTGGTCAGCTTGTCAGTCCCAAGATCCCAAAACGTCTCTGGTATGGGTTGCAGGTTAAGGGTTTAGGGCTTTTTTTTAGGACCTTTTGCGTCTTCAATTCCGGAGAGCCTCATTGAGGCAGGCTTAGGGTTTAGGGTTTAGGGTGTTTTCGAGTTGCGGTATGGGGTTCTTGGGCCTGAGGTCACGAATTAGTGCTTGAAAAGAGCCTGCCTTAAAGCTGCGGCGCTGCACGGTCATTCGTGTCTTTTGGTGAAGGGATATACATGTTAACATTTAATAATATATATATATATATATTTATTTATTTATTTTTATGTTTTTTACTTAATACAATAAAATAATATACTATAATACAAGAAATTATTCAAGAATATGATTGATGTGAGGGCCTCATTGCTCAGATCAGGCTCCAGCTGCCAGACGGCTCCTCTCCCGTGCAAACAAAATGTACCGAACTCTTTTCACCTGTCGTTTAAGGCCCAGGAGGGGAGCAGTCGTCGGCTTATCGTCTGGTGTTCGTACTGCGACCGTCGAAGTCTCGAGCGCGTTTGCGCTGGACACGGCTGCAAAATCAGAAAAGAAAGGCTTAACCTGCTTTGTTGTTCATGGCGATTCCGGCACTCGCAGGCTCAAAGCCTGAGCTTCGGAAACAAGTGGGGGTGTCCTTTCACCAATCAGTTACATGTATAAGCCGACATGCTCGAGTAACATGCGCATAACCACAGCAAGTTGTACATGCCACTAATCCACGCAGTTGAGGATGCTAGCTTTGTGTCATGATCCAAGAATACCAACAGCGGCTCGGAACTCACACAAACTTGTGGGACGATGACCCGACCATGCCCGTGAATATGCTTGTGACTATGACGACCATTGCAAGCCATAAAGAATACCAAAATAAGGATCACTACCAGTATTGCTGTGCACGCTAGCCTCGTTAGTGCGACTCTTGTTGCTTGACAAGTATCGGTGGCAGGACGAGTCCTCGTCGTAATAACAACAGCCGCCATCATCTCAACATCATCATCACAATCATCAGGACCATCGTCATCATCATCATCATCATCCTAGTAGTAGTAGTAGTAGTCGCCGTCGTCATAGTCGTAGCACTAGCTGTCGCTGTCTTAGGAGCAGCAGCAGCAGTAAATAGCCATCGTACCACCATCGTGTACATGTACGGGCAGTGCCGGAATCTGTTCTTGTATCAGGCCTGTTCTCTTGATAGCTTCATTACTACCTGTGGTTGCAGAACCGGGCAGCGGTGGTTGATCTCATTCTTGCCCACTTCGAGGACGGTCTTCTGAATGTGATCAATTTGCCTCAGGTCCAGCAGTCTTATTCAGCGAGATGCCCTTAGCCTCTGCGCGACTTAAACGTTGAAGCAGCCTAAACCGTGGTCCGACTACGGTCGATGTGAGGCTCACCTTGGACTTACGAGCGCCAGCAGAAACAGAACTGCCGGATTAAAGCGAAAGAGGCCGGGCTCTTGCTGTAGATCATGATGAAAGTCAGAGACTTTCTCTCAAAACGAAACACAAGGGTGGACACATGGTGGGTTGGGGGGTTACTCCATATGCCATATGCATACATATATGCACATAGATATAGGTAAACATAGATGTGTATAGGCAGACAAACAAGCAGAGAGAGAGAGAGAGCGAGAGAGAGAGAGAGAGAGAGATGCAGATTGATATAGATATAGATATAGATATGGGTGTGTGTTGCTATGCATGTACTTACTGTTTATTTGTTGAGCCTTTTTGCTCAACAATAAACCATACATGATCATACCAAAACTCCCGTTCTTGTTATGCTTGCACATAGAAAGCGCATGCAGGAGATTATTCTAACCCCTAAACCCTAAACCCTAAACTCAATAGTGCGCCAGGAGTCCACAAGATGTGAGCTTGGACTGCCTGCTCCACCGTCTCTGGTGAGAACACCACGCATCGGGGCCGACGAGTTATCCTGGAGTAGGGTTTAATGTCGGTTTAAGTTTAGTTCGACCCACTGAGGATGGAGTGAGCTGGCAGTCTGACAAGTCAAGGCGACCAGCAAGAACTCGCGCGGAGAGGAGAAACAGAAGCATGACGAAACGGGAGAAGGCGAGCCCCTCAAGCGTCAAGTGCACTTGTGCCCAGGATGCTTGCAAACAGTTGGCATCAGGACAGTAGGGATTCGATGAATCGATCCACAAGACATGTTGCGCCTTGCTGTACTTCGAGATTCTGACTTTGAGTCAATAAACACTAGTCACTAGATTACGCGCTTCTTGTGATTTTGTCTACTCGGCTATCCTGCTCCCTGTTCAGAATTCTGTGCATATATGTGTGTATATACACACATACATACACACACACACATACATACATACATACATACATACATACACACACACACACGCATAGGAACTTACAACTAGCCTATTCTTCTAGTGTTCTATTCTCAAACAGTCAGGGGCCAAATCTTGTCCCGTTATCCAAATATCCCAAATTTGTTTGCCTCACAGCCCTGCAACCGCTACTGTTTGGTTCACATCATGTCCGTGGATCACCCCTTGGTAGGATGGCAATGGGGCAGAAACGAAGCCGCGTGTTCAAGATCTTGTGCGCCACGACATTCTCCTTCTGGCCTGTATCCAAACCCTGCTTTGATGGGCGCCTACAGTATTCACACAGGGCTCCTCTCGTCTGCCGGCAGACACAGGCCACGGTTCTCGTGGTGCTGCTTTATGACCTCACGGGGTGAAGGACCAGCACAGGAATAGACGCGCCATGCCTTTGTGCAGACATGCACCATCATGCGCCCCTTCGGAACGAACGAAGGTAGCTCACACACACATTTCATCCCTTGTGCAGTCGTTGCTTTTATCTTGGGCTGCCCTGGGCTGCCAAGAATTCGTACACGGCTGCGTAGTCGGTTGGATGTCTTCCGATCTCTGTTGACTAATTATGTATGTATAAACATATATATATATACACATGTAACTATGTATACCCTTGTTGCTTTGATTGGGAGTGGGCTGGACCCATGTTTCGCCACCGCGCTCAAAGATGTCGACGTACACACACTATCGCCGTGAATCTAGCACGGTCACGGCCCTCATCACGAGAAACGACCGTGGCACCACAGCCGGTTGCTTACAAGTGTTTACAAACTTCACTACCTTTGGGCACTGCTTGCAGCATCGGATGGTGAAAGACACGAACACAAAACCTCAGAACAGTACTACAACACACCATCCAGCCCAATAATTTCTTCGAGCTATTCGAACAGATGCCTCCAAAATCTGGTCGCCGCTTGATGAACTCTAGCAGCAAGGTGTGTACATGCACCAGCCCACACACACAAACACAGAGAGAGAGAGAGAGAGACAGAGACAGAAATAACTAGCATCCTTCTCTGCAGCCTTGCTGGGCTGGCATTGCCACAACAATCCAGCACCCTGGCCGGCGAGCTGCTTGCAAAACGTCGTCGGCGGTACCGATGTCAAAGTGGTGGAATGGTCGATGCAGAACAAGCCTTGGCACCAAACAGCAACCGACAAGCCCGGGCAGTTCCTGCAACCAGTGATCACTGCCTTGCCCGCCCCTCTTTTGCAGACCGGCAGCATGTCAGGGTTCATGATGAGAGCTCTTGCGAGGCTTATCTTGACCTCTGCAGCGGTTTAGTGTCGGACAGCGCCGAGCTGGGGCAAAACCAAAACCCTAGCTCTTCGCGACTTCTCTCGTAGCATAATCCCTTTCACTGGTCAGTCCGACCTAGAGCCTTGGTGCAGTGGACCCTTTGAGGACATCGGGGAACGAGAGCATTCCATCCCCATGAGCAATGAACAATGTGTTACTTGGGATAATCCTGGCATTGCCTATGCACCAAAGATCAGCTCCCCGCCTGTCGACACAAGCCCTGCATTAACCAGAGTGCGCGATTCCCCCTCGATGTGGCCACTGCATCGGGGCATCCGTAAAATGCACTTGTCTCGTCCTAATTCTTGGAAGGAGTTGCTGCAAGTCCCACGAGCGCAAAGGGGCAATTTAGAGTCACAGCAGAAGCAGCTGTCGTCTGCTGCAGGTCTGTACTGCTATATGCCGTAGTATGATGCCAGTACTAGACTACTTCACAGCCATGTCACGATGTTCTGTTCCTCCATCATGACCATATTGGGCCACCCAACAAGTTGTGACATTGCAGTTCGCGCGGTGGAGCACTATCAGGCCAATGTCGCTAAAGTGGCAAAACAGTTGGAATGGCTGTAGGACTTGCGCCTTTGAAACCCCAAAACCGCGACTCCTCAAGGCTGAAACGTGGAGTGCTGGCTTCCTTCCTCGACCCGTCGAGTGGCCTTCTCTGTGTAGGTCAAGGGCTCTTGCCACAAGTGTTTGCTGGACTCCTGACCGAAATCGGAGGAGTGCATTGTACTGACCGGTTTCACGGCCAGGATGGCTGCTTCTTCTTGGGGCGAATTACATCGCTGATGTCTCGTCACTGGAGTGTACAGTGCTGTTCGGGGCTGCGTAGTCGGAGACGCGAGCATCCCTGCTTCAAGCTTTCAAGCCCCAGCCAAAGCAAGACCTGCAGAATCAGAAGATGTCATACATATATATATATACACACACATACATATATACACGTATTTGTTCATATCTGAATTAGTATAGTTATAGGTATAAATATATATATATATGTATATTTATATATATATATATATACACACACACGTTTACACGGGTATAGCATACTATACATATGTGGAAATGCATATGCCAAAAGCCAGAATCCTGCTTGATGTCGGCCGCCAGTTCCGCCGGATCTATGTTCGGGAGCTCCATATAGCTGCCTACAGAGACGGCTTAGCAAGGCTTTAGAGTTTAGGGCTTCAGGGCTTCAGGGTTTTAGGGCTTCAGGGCTTGTAGGGTTTGGGGGTTTAGGGTTTGTACTACAGAGACTTGGCTCCACGTAGCGGGCAGCTGATACTTGCGAGAAGCATCATCACAATTCTACTCAGTTCCGTTGAATTGACAAATCGGTACTGTAGCACCCGCCTCCTGACATGCTAAGTGTTCTTGAGCTCCTGCAAGAAAGAAAAGTCTGCCGCATGAAGTGTTGAGACGGGCACCTTGCCGTAAGCAGCACTGTAAGATGAGACCACGATGTAGGCACGCCGCATTCATCAACAAACACTACCCGCAATGCCCCCGTCCGGTCTGACGTGGTGTAAATGTTTGGCGGCATCAAGACGTGCTTTGGCGGCATCAAGACGTGCTTTCACTGAGTGATAGTGATCATGTCAACTCCTGATTCCTGAAGCAAGCCAGAATTCCCACCATTTAGGGTTTACAGTTCAGGGTTTAGGCTGTCGAGCTTGGGCGTAAGGGGGAGGCCTGGTAGGATTCAGGTACCCCATGGCTCTTCTCGTTTACAGCTTCTAGCGGGCCCCGTGATCGTCCTGGGCTCGTTGTCACCGGTCAACGGCCTCGGATGTTCGGCTAGCAGCTCAAAAAAACATCAACATGAGCAAGGGTTTAAAGGATTTCGGGTTTAGAGCTTACGGCTTGGGCTGTCTAAGGTCCGGGCATCAAGGTGAAGGGTTTGCAGATTCAGCACACCTTTGTCTAAACCCTGAACCCCAAATCCTAGACCACCCCTGAACCCTGAACTCCTAACCCCCCACACCCTTGAACTTAAACCCCTCAACTCTACGCCGATAAACACCTCAGTCCTGAACCTCAAATCCTTGAAGGTAATCCTTAGCAGTACTGGCATTTCCACCTCAATTCGGGTGTGGCTCCCTCTTTCTGATCCCTAAACCCTAAACTCTGAACCCTGAACCCTAAACCCTAAACTCGAAACCCGAAACCCCAAACTCCAAACTCCCATGTCTAGCAGCTCAGCAAGGTCCGAGATCTTCTCCACGGGAGATCTGTTGGGCTGTTTGATTCCTGACCATTTTGCATTTGGGGTTTATGATGCTCCGTAAGGCTCTAGAAAGGAGCGTATAAGTGCTCTGTGAGATCCGATGAGCTTTAGGGCTCTCGGGTTTAGGGCTTGTGGTTTCTGGGCTTTGGGTTTGCAGTTTGGGGCCTTGAGTTTCGAGTCCTTGGCCTGCCACAATAATGCAGCACTGAAATGAGCCTTTCCCCGCTGTTCTCTTTGTGTCAGGCCCCAGATAACGCATGCAGGCCCGGTGAGCTTTTCGACTCAACCCTGTTGGCTCAGGTATCTTCCGGGCAGCTGGCATTGCGGCATGACGCCAGAACCATGCAAGACTAAGATCGACGGGTCTTGGATCTGCAAACTCGAAAAAGTTTCGATGGATGAGCCGCGAAATTCAAGCAGTGTCCCCAAATCCATGAAAAATTGCACGAGTTTTGAGAACGTCGGCGCGGTTCCTTGCATTCGGAACCGCGTACCTCAGGCACCTAACCCTAGAACCCTAAAACTCTAAACCCCTAAACCCCCTAAGACTCTAAGCCCCAGACCTTTAAGCTCTAAACCCCAAGCCCGAAGCCCAGAACTCCAAAAACCCGCCCAAAACCCTCGACCTTTTTTGGAGACCCTTACAAACACCCTTCTAGAGGCCTTATAGTAAAGGTTTAGGGTTTAGGGTCTACCGTATAGAGGCCTTATGGGTAGTTCTCTACATTAGGGTCCCGTTTCGAAGTACGGCACCCTATAAACATGACTCTCAAGGCTGCCTTAGCTTGAAAAAATACCCTTAAAGTAATATCGATGGAGAACCTAGCAAAACCCTCATGAAATCGGACGTAGAGCCCTTGTCGAATTGTTGTAGAGTTGTTGTAGAACCTGTGCAGAGCCGGTATTGCACCGCTACAACAATACCTTGAAACCCGATCCCTATAGTTCAAACCCTAAACCCCAAACCGAAAACCCTTTTAAGAACCTAATTAATTAATTGCGTGTCCCCGCGGCCTTGCTCAACGTCAGAGTTCTTCCCGTCTGGCTCGCCCATCTCGTTCCTTAAACCCGAAACCCTAAACTGCTCTAAACCCCCAAATGGGTTTTGGGGAGTGTAGGGGCCGAAGACGTAGGGTGTTCGGCAGAGTTTTGGAGCTTTGGACTTAGAATTTATGGGGAAGAGTTTAGGAGCTAAGCGCTCGGCAGGGTGTTCAAGGCTTAAGGTAGCTGAGGGTTTAGAGTTTGTAGGTGGGGTCTAAGGGCTTAGGGTACAAGAATCAGGGTTTAGGCTTCAGGCGTTTAGGTGGGTTTCATGACATTGGGCAGGGTGGACTCGCCAAGCATCTGCAACGTCTCGAGCACGTACTTCATGTTCAAGTGCGCAAGGACGCCCTGCAGGCGAGGATGCTGAAGGTTGGGGCAGTTAGGCTGAGATTTTGGGAAGAGGGAAGAGTAACATCAGAAGAACCAAACAGACAAGCTAGGGGAGCATCGAAGGCATCAGATACCTCGAGGCTTCCGAACTCCCCGGCCTTTACCACAGACAGATCCGCGAAATCCGGCGCACCGTAGGTCAGGTTCCTCAGCAACGGATTCCCGAAGGCTCGGGCCAATAGAGCGGCCTTAATTGAGCAAAACTCGAAACTAAGGTCCCTTTTGAGGTCCTTTTTTTAAGGGTGCCGTACTATATTGGGTTCCTAAACAGGGACCCTAATGTAGAGAACTACCCAATTGGAGGCACAGAAAAGCAGCGAAGCAAAGACAGTGAGGTTCCTATGATCCACTCTCTGAGTAAGCCGATAAAGTAGGGATATCCCACCAGAGCGCTCATGTTCGGGTTTTGGTTGCTATTCATACTTGTAGTAGGCTTTTGGGGGGTACATTGTAGTCTGATCATCACAAGGAACCCTAAGGAATAATGTTGGTGACTATACAAAAATTATCAACGGGAACCTGAGGAATGATGTGGGTAATTATACTATAACGCACCAGTCACAACTCAATAATGGCCCGGGCGGCTCCCAGACAGAGGCATCCAGCAGAACAGGATCCTGTGCGACCTGAGGTTCTACAGGCATCCACCGTTTAGGGTTTAAGGCTTTGGGTTTAGGGTTTAGGAATTGGGGCTTAGGGTGGGAGGTTTAGGGTTTAGGGCATCGCGTGGCAAATGATATCGTCAGGGGCTACATTCAGCATTGAACAGGACTCTCAAAGAGGACCCGTCTGTGAGAACAACACGTGCAAACCGAAGATCTTGGAAAGCTTCGTCCGATCTCGCGGCCTACAGAATCATTTCGGGTGTTGAGCATTCTCCAGCCTTCAAGCATGGATTGTTACCCCCGAAAGTGTGCCCCCGCTCTGAAAATAACTGCAAAAGACCTTTGTCAAAGCGAAGTAACATGTTCAATCGGGTCTGGATTATACACAAAGTCATGTAATTTAACGGTGTTTTCGTGCCTGCAGCTCCGTCAACATTATTTAACCTTTTGTGAGGTGAAACTAAGCTGGGGGCTCAGTTGCCCATAAGCCCAGTACAAGGCCTCCTCTCGCCCTACGATACGATAGGAAAGCCCTCAACCCCAAACCCTAAACCCTAAACCCCAAACCCAAAAAGGCCCCAAACCCCAAACCCTAAACCCTAAACCCCAAACTCCAAACCCAAAAGGCCCTAAACCCTAAACCGGAAACCTTCAAGCCCGAGCCAAGCAG